TGAAGTCAATGAATAAAGTTTAAGACTTACCTTTGATATGATAGTAGTAACAAGATGTGTTGTGAAAAAGATGGATGTCTAGAAAATAAGTGAAACGGCAATCTAATACTCAGCACTGAAAGTCAACTGGTGATCCAACAAATCGTCATGGATCATCGAGAACTAAGTGGATATGATATCGTACAACAGAACGAAGGATAAATTAGATAACGCATTAGAGAAACATATAGTAAAACTGGAATAGGTATAAAATTAACGAGTCTACAAGTAGTGATGGAAAAAAATATATCTAATGATAATATCACCTACAGAAAGATGACTATATAGAATAGCTGCAATTATCCTAAACTGTAAAGCAATTAGACGAAGAAAAGTCAGACTCAAAATAGGAAATTACGATCTATAAAGAGTATTGTTGGACTTATTTCACATTATCAATCCACAACATCAAGCCTTAAACGAAGTATGATGAGATCTATCAAAAAACAAAACAAAGTAAGTAATATTATTCCCCTGATGAAACTAAATGACAATAATGACCTCACAGTATCAATACCTACCCATGATGTTGTAGCAAGTCCACATTATATGCTAATTGGATAGGAAGATCTTGAATGAATTTTAATTTGCTGTAGTCATAAAGAGAATTCCAAGGATAATTTTTAATTTAAGATCCAACTAATGGCTCTTCACGAGATTGTAAAAATTAAGATGCTAGAATTGAAATCAATCAAGTAAATACTTTTTCTGCACCTGAAGAAATTAGACAGACCTATAAAGTCATCCACCTGTAGTTGCACTGCCGACACCTTATCTTAGACTCAATGGAGATCATTTTACTGCACTGTAATATAAAACATAATATATGGAAGAACAAAAGGTGAAATGAAATAATAATTTATCAACAACCATTATATCCTAATGAATAATTCACCCAATTAATATTTTAGTGCATAATATGCATAAAATGAGTATAAGAAAAATGTAACAGTGGAAAATAAGACTTCTTTATGTAATCAGTTTTCATGAAAGTATTATGGATCACAAACTTGTTTATGCCTGTCAGTATAATAGTTAGATAATACAAAAGTAAGAGAAAAGAATTGTAAAAGTTATTATATAAAATTTTATATTCTAATCATCTTTGCCATTATTATTTTTATTCATTGTATTTCTATTGATTTCTTAGTAGTATTATTAATGAAAAACATGTATAAAGAATCTAAAAATTGAAATTAATAAAGGAAGGAACTCAGTCAAGTCAAACTGCCTCATTTTAAATAATAAATCTTGCACGAAAATCTGTTCTATTGAGTGATAAATTTGTCGATTATCTATTATATTACACAAGATTATGAGCACTTCTTCTAAAAAAAAAATCACATATCCGGAAGCATATACTTCACTTCTAGAACTTTATTAGTAAGCAAATCCATTAAAGAAAAGAGAAACTGCCATTTGGGAAATACAACAATTATGGAATAAGTTGAAGGGCAATAAAAATCAACTTGAGAAGAAATTAAAATTGTTAAAACTCGAGAATGAATGGAAAAAGACAGAGGTGTGACTTTTCTTTTTTAAAGCTACTCTTCAAAATCCAGGACGTGTTATATCAAATCCTGCAGAAGAACAAATACAAGACATCTCTGAAAATTTTGCAGAAGACTTTAAGAATTCTTTGAAGGAAATTTGCATTTCAACAACTAGAGAATAGAAAATGTCAGTTCAGTCTAATTTTAGAGAAAAAATTATTTAATTAATCAGGAATTGCAACAACTTCGAGCTTTAAGAAATAGTGGTATGATCACTGATGAAGATAAAAATAAGAAACGTAAAATTCAAATTGAAATTTCAACATTATCGAAAGCTCTTCTCAAATTAGAAAAACAATAACAAACTCAGCAAAAATATAGAAATCGAAAGAAACAAAAACTCCAAGAAACAGAAATTAAACTTAAAGAAACAGGTATTGATGTACAACTTATTAGACCAACAGTTGGCTGTCCACATTTAGAAGAAACACAACCAGGTTTATTATAAGCTATTTTTTATCTTGTTTCTATAGAAGGACAAGCAGATGAGTGACAACGATCAGAAATAATACGGTCTGTTAAAACTTTGAATTAATTTAAAGAAGCATTAAATAAAATGAATTATAAACTTTCACATTCTGCTATATATCTTAGACTTATTCCAAAGTGATTTAATACAGAAAAAGAAAAACAGCATGTCAAAACTGCACCTGTGAAACTTTTAAAATTACGAAATACTGCAAGAAGAAATCATGAAGATATCCAATTTTGCACTGCTTTAGTTAGAAACATTAAAAAAAGAAATGGTATCAATATTAGGTTCTCAAAGTGTTTTAGTAGTTTCTCAAGATGACAAAGCAAGAATACCTCTTAATTTGGCCACAGCTAATAAACAAGTACCAATTTTGATAAGACTGGAATATCGAATGGAACTTCTGGATTATGACTGGGTTGTTGCAGAAAAACATAAATTAATTCCTTCAGTTTATGCAATATTAAATATAGAAAATGGTAAATATAAAAATGCTAAAACAGTAACATATTCAGGTTCAACATTTATAAGAATTTGTAGTGAAAAACATGATACTAGTATGGCTTATTCTTATGGTAAAGATTTTGATACTCTTATGATTAAAAAGCAATTATATAATTATACTAAAACGACAGATAGACAATTTAAACCAATAATAGTATTATTAACTGATGACAGTCCTAACAAAAATTTATATGACAAGAAAACAATTCAAGTGATGATTGATCATTTTATTAAATATGATTTTGATACTATTATTACAGTATATTTCACACCACATCAAAGTGCATCTAATCCAGTTGAAAGACGAATGGCACCTTTAAGTCACAATTTGGCTGGTATAATACTTCCTCATGATACGTTTGAAATGCATTTGAATAAAAATTAAAAACAACTGATGAAAATTTAGAGAAATATAACTTTAAAGTAGCTGGAGAAATTTTAGCTTCAATATGAGAAAACACTATTATCAACAATTATCCAGTCTTAACTAAATATGTAGATCTATCTGAAGAATATTACTATTTAGAACAAGATGAAAAATCAGTTGCTTGGATAGAAAAATATATTATAATCTGTCATTATTTTACTCAAGTTATTAAATGTGATGATTTAAATTGTTACAAACCTTTTCACAGTGGAATTCAACAACTTCTTCAAAATCGTTTTTTTCTATCATTAATTATGATTCAGTAAAAATTACATAAGATCTGCACAGCAAGTATAAATACAATTGACAATACAATACATTTCAGTAATTTTTTTTTATCTATAGTAATGGAGGAAAAACTTTTTTCACCAGAAATAAATTTACGATATTTTTCTTTTAATTGGTATTGTCCAACTATTAATAGATCAATTAATAAATATCTTTGTATCTATTGTCATTGATATTTCAGTTTAAAAAGATTCTTAAAGCATCATATTCGAAAATGCCCATATAAATCATCTGAATTAATTGTAAAATCAGTTACGAACATGCAAAATTTTCAAGGTACAGACTATTTGACAAATATTATAGATAATATTACAACTATTCATAATTATTAAAATAATAAATTTTTAGTTAGTAATGAAGATGAAGAAGCAATGTGGATAGAAAAAAAAATAGTATTAGAAAATTTATCAAAACCATTTTTAGAACAGATACAAGTTCAATCGGATCAAGTACTTATTATTGACTGGACTATATGGAAACATAAGTAGACAAATGATAAATAAATTTTTATTAAAATAATATAATATTAAAGTAAAAAATCAAAGAAAAAAAATTTTTATTTAATTTAAATAATATAATTTTTTAATAATAACCAACTGTTTGCACATTGTTACCTCTATATAAAAATTAGCTATAGTAATACAGATGCATAATATGATATTTATTCATCAATATTGTTATAATTAGGATGAGACATCACTATCTGATTTAATCAAATTGATGGCATTATACCAATCATATCACAATTAGTAACAAATAAACATTAAGTCTTAATAGAATAGTATATAAGGTGATAGCCAATTATATCGCAATTAGCAATAGACAGATCTCTATTTTAAAGTGCATGATACTCTCTGTATATATGACCTATAAACAATCCTATTGGATATAGCAGATAGACATTAAGATTTTAATATAATAGATTTACTATTGCATTATAGGGAGGAGAAGGTCAAGAGGTCTTATTTGATTCATATAATGTTATTTATGAATGCCACTTAATGCAAAATATAAGTATATAAATTAATTAACAAACTTTTGAAATATCTAACAATATTATATATTTTTAGAATCGAAAAAAAAATAATAATTAACAAAATTACAGATCTATGGGTCCATAGCATAGTGGTAATGCTCTATAGGTCACCAAGGAAAGGTCTAGAATTCAAACTCACCTGGTTACAAAACATCACCTTCATGGTTAATTGACTGGCTTCTAACACATGTCATATCCAATCAGCCACAAATTTCTTACCAAAACAAGCTAGGTTGCACAAAGATAGAATCTCTGGTTTTCCTGATGATTGTGAGCTGAAAACAAATTGAAGTAGAGAAGGTTGCATGAGGAAAGGCTTCTGGTCTAGCTCTTATACAAGCCCACCAATCCAAAACTGGCACAGCAAACTCCGTAATGCAAAAAGAATACCTTATCCTGGGGCTATTCCAATCCAGCGCTTGCTTAAAAGAGGGTTATATCTTGAAAAAAGTATTGGGTATAAACTGAAGCCACAGGTGATAACAAAGAGTGATTTACTTTCTTCGAGGTTCTAGGCAAAAAGTATCAGGATATTTGGGTGTTCTACTAATCCTTGAAAGGTAATAATTGTGCCTCTCCTATAACGGATGCAGTTAAGACAGGATTTAAATTAGGTTAGATAGTTGCTATCCCCTAATAATAATAATAATTCCTTCCAAGGTGCGAATCCACTCTTGTAGTGTCAATTGGTACATTGGGTAAGTCTATAGGTTTAGAAGCAAGGTTAACTTAAATGGACCTAAAATGTATATGTAATTGAATATAAATAACTCAATAAACACACATATGCATTAAGTATCTTTACCTCCCAAAAATAATAATAATAATAATTAACAAAATTGTACAAAGCTCTAAAGGTCAAACAATTATTCCAAAAGTATTTATATTTTCAAATAAACTATAGGAATTTGAATTAAAAAATTCAAACAATTCAATAAATGAAGTACTTCAAAATCTTTCGAAAGACAATAAAAATCATAGATGAGAATTTGAAAATCTTGAAAGTGTTTTAAAATTATACTTTAATTCTTTGAATATTTCAATAAATAATTTTATATTAATGATATTTGGAACAGTTATTATAGAGAATGGTGGAATTGTCC